CCTGACTGAAATATAATACTCGGCAAAATTTAACTAAGAATTTTTCAAAAGCCCCAGTGCTTTCCAGTAAGAGAAATGCATTCAGAGTATAGTATGGGAATTGGCCTTGCTTTATAATAATACAATCTATTTAAAGCTAATTCTGATAGAAAACAAGATGTTTTTGTGAAACACTGATGCCCCTGTATGGCAATTTATAACAAAGGTTGAACTTTCTCAAATGCAAATCAAATATGTTGGTACCCAAAGTAAGGTCTTGTCTCGAGGAATAAACCTGTGAAATATGAAAACCGTAGCAGCAACCATTGAATAGATATGGAAAAGGTTAAAGTTTTTCAAAAGTATATCAAACATCAAGGTCAGGGTCAAATGGTCAAAATTAATGGTGCCCAAGGAAAGGTCTTCTCCCAAGAAATACACAAGTGAAATATGAAAGCCCTAGCACCAATTGTTCAAAAGTTATGGCCAAGGTTAAAGTTTTCCAAAAGAAGGTCAAACTCCAAGGTGAAGGTCAAAGGGTTAAAGTTGTTGGTATCCAAAGGAAGCTCTTGTCACAAGGCTTACATATGTGAAATATGAAAGCCCTAGCACCAACAGTTTAAAAGTTATGGCCAAGGTTAAAGTTTTTTTTTTCAAAATTAGGCCAAACTCCTAGGTCAAGGTCAAAATGTCAAAGTTGTTGGTATCCAAAGGAAGGCCTTGTCACAAGGATAACACATGTGAAATATGAAAGCCCTAACAGCAATTGTTCAAAAGTTTTGGCCATGGTTAAAATTTCATAAAATTTAGCAAAACTGGGTCAAACTCCAAGGTCAAGGTTTAAAGGTCAAATATGGTGGCACTCGAAGAAAGGTCTTGTCACAAGAAATACACATGTGCAATATGAAAGCCATAGCTCCAACCAATCAAAAGTTATGGGCAAGGTTAATGTTTTTGCGGACAAACAAACAGAGAAACAGACAGACGGACGGACAGAGCAAAAATTATATGCCCCCGAATCTTCGGTACGGGGGCAATAAAAATAATTCAAGTTAAATTTTCTATAAACATAGATAAATATGGAAACCAATATCAATCACAGAAAATAAAGAAATTGATTTATTTTGGTGAAAAATTAATATGCCACATAACTGTGCTTAAATAATCATATTATTAGTGGGTGTAAACGTCTCCTTCAATATCTATTATTTGTTTCTATACACGTACTGTGATTTTCCTCAATAGTTCAAAAATGACTGTTACAAAAGAATTGTAAATATTTCTTGTTACTGCTCAGAAAGAAATGCATCATCAATTTCCACTGCTTTTTATAGTTACATTGTTTATTGGTTATCTCATTTCTGAGTAAGCTCAGCCCATTAAATTAATTAACCCCGCCCATTTGGACTGCTGGGACTGCTTTCTGGGACCGCTGGGACAGCTTTCTGGGACCGCTGGGACTGCTGGGACCGTTATGGGACTGCTCTGGGACCGCTGTGGGAAATTGTCAAATTTTCGGGACGCCCTGTCCCTTCCGCAAGAAAAAGAAAAAAATTAAGTCATAAAAACAAAGGAAATAGAAAAACAAAAAAAGGCTAGCACTACTACTAAACTACCAAACACTATTTATTTATAATGTTACATGTTGAATTTAAATTTTATAATCAGTTGTAAAGAAATAAATCCGGACCGCTATGAAATACGTCCGGTCTCTCGGGTGTACTCTGGTGAAGTTCGATTTACATAATTGAACGAATTAATTATTGCTAATTAATTACGGCCAAGCAGTAAATCGTACATTGTCTTATTCTCTCAAAATAGCTTAAGTTTACATAATAAAAAGAAACCAAAGGAAGATAATTTAGATGTATTATAAATGTAATTTGGAAATGTTTTAGGACTGATTATCGGATAAAAGAAATAGTAAACAAAAATGTAAGGAAAAAATCTATACGTGGGTTGTTCCAGAATTGATAAAACGAATTAACGGTAAAGTTAACACTATATAGAGAGAATAAACTTGTTTGTTACAATCAGGAATTGGGTTCAGTTCACGTTCATCCTGGTGAAGTCATTTAGTTTCTTGATACCATTAGGGCGGAATGTCTTCAGTCTGTGCATCCAGAACTTTTATAAACACTTCTGTCATGTCCTCCCATTTGTGACAATTCAAGGTTAAAATGTTCCCCAACGGGTTCATTGAGTTTTTTGGTCTTAATGGTCGAACGGTGATTATTGATTCTTCTGCGGATATCTCCCGTTTCCCCAACGTACTGTTTGGAACAAACTTTACAACTGATGAGATATATGCAGTTTTCTGTTTGAGAAGACAAATTCTCTAGAATTCTGCAGCTGTGGCCTGTAACGGGGCTTTTAAAGCTGTTTGTGTCAGAGCTGAGCTTACAGAGAAGACGTCTTCATTCAGAGCAAGCTCTGAAGTCTCCGTTAGGTAATGGATTGTCCAATCTAGTTCTAACTACCATGTCCTTTAAGTTCCTCGGGCGCCTGTAGGCAGCCAATGGAGGTTCCTTAAAGACCTCTGCCATTCTTTTGTTAGAGTGGAGTATTGGCAGGTTCTTTTTAAGAATACCGCTGAGGTTCTTAAGGACTGGATGGCATATGGTTACCAGAGGGACCCTGCTGCTATTTTCTTTCTTCTTGTAGAGTAATAGGTTTTGTCTGTCGTGTCCTGCCATCTCATCAATAGCAGTTTGTACGTTGTGGGCTTTGTAGCCTCTATTGCATAAATGGGACTTTAGGAGACTGCTCTGTTCCTGATATAAGGCAGGGGATGAACAGATGCGACGAATTCTGGTAGCCAGACCCTTAGGCACACCCTAGAATGTGTGTGGGGGATGGCAGCTAGTCGGCATGAGATATAGTTGGGAATCGGTGGGTTTCGTGTGGAGACTAAACTCAATTTCGCCATCAATCAAGGTAGATGTAGTATCTAAGAATATGTTTTGGGAATTAGATACGTCTACAGTAAATTTGATAGACTGCTGGAAGGTGTTGGCAAACGAAATGAATGCTTCGAGGCTCTCGCAGCATTCCACCCACTTCATCTCTAAATCGTCAATGAAACGCAACCAGCTAAGGGGCCTAAATGGTGCTTGAAGTAACAAGTTGCGTTCAACTCTGCCCATGAAAATATTGGCATAAGATGGGGCCATTCTCGTACCCATTGCAGTGCCATTAACCTGCAGGTAATGTTCTCCATTAAACATGAAATTGTTACATTTGAGAACATGTTCAAGGAGCTTGGTAAGGGACTCAGTGGAAGGAGTTTGTATTGATCTACTGTCCCAGACTTCTCTACAAGCCTCGATACCAGAATTCGTCGCATCTGTTTATCCCCTGCCTTATATCAGGAACAAAGCAGTCTCCTAAAGTCCCATTTATGCAATAGAGGCTACAAAGCCCACAATGTACAAACTGCTATTGATGAGATGGCAGGACACGACAGACAAAACCTCTTACTCTACAAGGAGAAAGAAAATATCAGCAGGGTCCCTCTGGTAACCACATACCATCCGGTCCTTAAGAAATTCAGCGGTATTCATAAAAAGAACCTGCCAATACTCCACTCTAACAAAAGAATGGCAGAGGTCTTTAAGGAACCTCCATTGGCTGCCTACAGGCGCCCGAGGAACTTAAAGGACATGGTAGTTAGAACTAGATTGGACAATCCATTACATAACGGAGGCTTTAGAGCTTGCTTTGACAGAAGACGTCTTCTCTGTAAGCACAGCTCTGACACAGACAGCTTTAAAAGCCCCGTTACAGACCGCAGCTACAGAATTCTAGGGAATATGTCTTCTCAAACAGAAAACTGCATATATAAAATCAGTTGTAAAGTTTGTTCCAAACAGTACGTTTGGGAAATGGGAGATATCCGAAGAAGAATCAATAATCACCGTTCGACCATTAAGACCAAAAAACTCAATGAACCCGTTGGGGAACATTTTAACCTTGAAGGTCACAAATGGGAGGACATGAGAGTAGTGGTTATTGACCATAATCCGAATTGGACCGATGCTCAGAGAAAAAGCAAGGAAAAGTTCTGGATGCATAGACTGAAGTCATTCCGCCCTAATGGTATCAAGAAACTAAATGACTTCACCAGGATGAACGTGAACTGAACCCAATTCCTGATTGTAACAAACAAGTTTATTCTCTCTATATAGTGTTAACTTTACCGTTAATTCGTTTTATCAATTCTGGAACAACCCACGTATAGATTTTTTCCTTACATTTTTGTTTATTATTTCTTTTATCCGATAATCAGTCCTAAAACATTTCCAAATTACATTTATAATACATCTAAATTATCTTTCTTTGGTTTCTTTTTATTATGTAAACTTAAGCTATTTTGAGAGAATAAGACAATGTACGATTTACTGCTTGGCCGTAATTAATTAGCGATAATTAATTCGTTCAATTATGTAAATCGAACTTCACCAGAGTACACCCGAGAGACCGGACGTATTTCATGCGGTCCGGATTTATTTCTTTATAACTGATTATAAAATTCAAATTCAACATGTAACATTATAAATAAATAGTGTTTGGTAGTTTAGTAGTAGTGCTAGCCGTTTTTGTTTTTCTATTTCCTTTGTTTTTATGACTTCTTAACTTTTTTTTTTTCTTTTTCCTGCGGAAGGAACAGGGCGTCCCGAAAATTTGACAATTTCTATTATTCGTGTCGTTGGTCATTTTTAGTGCTTTATATAAATTTCCATCCTTGACCTTGTATCCATTTAGTAGATCCGATACTTAGGATATACAGTGTTGTTGGTTTTTGTAGTGCTTTCTATATATATATATATATATATATATATATATATATATATATATATATATATATATCCATGTATGTGATAAAAAACTCTTTGCACATCTGTGACGATCATTCGTTTATTGATAAACAATAACTAAGATAGTTTAAAAAGGATGCTTAAGTTACAATGGCATCATAAGGGAAATTAAGGACTATCGTTCGTATGGTTTTTGAGAAAGATTATTTATTCTCTGCTATTAATCTTTGTTTTGCCTTTCAACTGTGAAATCAAACATGCGATTGGCCATCGAGTTGTCAGTATTTTGAAAAATGTTGCGTATGGAAAGTCTGTAAGACAGAGCACAAATTATCTTCATTTCAAAGCTGCTGATGCTGTCAACGATGTCTACACAGACTTCAGCCATACAAAACTTGAAAAAAAATCCATGGATTAGAATCGATCTTGGAAGGGAATACACAGTTCATGAAGTAGAACTATTTAATAGAAAAGACTGCTGTGGTAGGTTTAATAAGCTTTCATTAACCTTTGTCAATAGCCATTGCTAACTTCTTAAATTTGTTTTCTAATACACTTACAGTTTTAACCTGTTTTCATGTTCCGTGTTTGCACTGGTGTAAATATGTAATATCTTACACAACTTTTAAATATCATCAGTTTTCGTCATCATTACATTTTATCGGACATATAACAAAACATATCTTACAATACTAGTAGTCAGATGTTTAGTCCTTATTGTATATCACTCAAAATACATATGCTTAAATTACATATAGCTTTTTTTGCAATAGCTATCCATATTTATTTCTACATTACATGTTTTCCAACTACTTGCTAATGCCAATAGCCATTTCTAACTTCTTTTTTCAATTTTATATATTTTCGTTTTTATTTAAAGTTCAGATAACACGTACATATGTATTCACTTGCTATTTTGATATTTTTTTCAGCTGAACTACTTCACGACATTGATATAAGTGTTGGCACTGATTTACACGCAATGAATTTCTGTGGCCATTTTGCTGGACCTTCTACCCGAGGAGGGGAGCGGATAGCTGTGTTTTGTCCATATCATACATCTAGATCTGGTCGATATGTTCAGATACAGAGTGTGGAGGGATGGGGAAACTATCTCTCTGTTGCAGAAGTCAAAGTTTGGGGGCATTAGTAGTTGTAATCTAAAGAAGCAATGAATAAAATATGTTTCTACGTGCATTTGCTTGTTTAATGTTTTCAAAGCCATGATTGATTCATCATAGTATTTTACGCGTCTACTCCCCAATTGCAAGGGTTTTCTTGCAAAAAAGAAAAAAAGTTGTGATTGTACAGATGCATGTGTTCCAATATGGGTCTTATTCATCCAATCTTATATATTCTATTTAAAAGTTGTATCATATAATTATACTATTCAGAGATATTTTCAACATTTTCTTTCGAATTTGATGTGTTTGAGGGTTGAAGATCTTCATTTGGTAGCATAAGATGATATTATCATTATTTTTAATGGGATTTGTAGGATAGGAGAGTACATTATGTCTTTTTATTAAAAGAACTGATGTAAAAATAGAGAGGAATTTAAAAAAAAAAAAAAACTCACATTGTAAAAAGTCTGTTTTATATAGTCCAAACTAACTTTCAAGGTTTAGATTGAATTAGTTAGTGAGCAATCTACACGGATTATGATCATAATTGGCACAAAAGACAATGCAAAGTTGTATATCGTGATCTGCGTGATATGGTTTTTATATAGAAAGACTAACCGTTCACGGTAGCTCAGTCGGTAGAGCGCTCTCTTCGTGATCGGGAGGTCGTGAATTCGAAACTCGGCTGCGATTGAACTAAGTCGATAAAAAATGGGTATCAAATATTCCTTCGCTATGCGCTCGGCACTTTGAAGTGAAAGTTGCGGGTCCTTCGGATGAGACCTTAAAAACCGAGGTCCTGTAACGGCAGGCGTTGGCACGATAAAGATTCCTCACTGCTCAATGGACCTGAGTGCCGAGTAAAGATCAAAATTTGAAGCTCTTCACCGGTATATGGTGACGTCTCTATATGAGTGAAAAATTCTCGAATGGGACGTAAAACAACATACAGTCAATCAATATAGAACGACTACGATGCAAGCGACTTTTGCATGATGTTTTATCGATATCGTCGACACATGTAAATATATATATCTCTTTATGCGCTAGCGCGCGTCATCGAATATGCCAGCAGAGCAATTGCTATTCAAAACGCCATGTTCACTGAATAACGTTGTTTATTTCTTAAATGTCCGAGACACGTGCTTGTGTCGTGCCATCGTTTAAATATGATTACCCGTATGGACAGGAGTATTACCCCGCTCAATACAATACTGCATCAGTATTTTGATCATATCTAACAAAATGAGCATATAACGTAATATTTTGGATGTATACTGAATGTTTTTTTTTTTTTACGCATAAGTACCCAAAAGTATAGTTTTTTATGGATGGAAAGTTGATATTTTGCGGAAAATGTACAGTTTCTGCTTATTTGCATAAGAAAAAAGCCCACAAAGTGTTCTGTATCGCAATTATTACAAGCTTGACCTCAAAGGAAAACTTGCCGGGTCATGTCACAATTCTATCAAGAAGTTCTTAACTCATTTACAATCTCCTTACGTAGACATTTAAACATTGCCCAGTGAAGTGAATTTTGTGTTTTGACAGGTTTGCATGGATTGAAATTCGCTTCGTCATAAATAATTTAATCCTGCAAACCACATTATCTTTTTCCCTTGAGCCTGTTGTATTATCATTTAAAGAATATCTATATTAATACCTTTTGTATGTATATCTATACTTTTTTTAAATCATGTTTTATCTATCTCTATAATATTGAAGACATTATCATCATCTTATGTAACGATTACATCACATGAAACAACAAAACTATGAATACACATTAGTTTGCATGCAAAACAATACTTAAAGAAAAGGGGGTAAGTCATCTTGTAGTGTAGCAGGGAATTTCAATCTCCAAATAATTTAAATCACTTGAACGTCTGTCGTATACATGGAAAAATCATGACACAAAATTCAACCTGTCTACCCTTAAAAAAAAACAAACACTCAATCGATCTCCCATACTTAGGTAATGAAACAGTAACACCTTGTGCGTTGTGAAGAAAAGGTAAATCATTAACCATGAAATATGTGGAGATAACGAACGGTATCCGAGCTCAAAAGTCCATTAAATATTGCAAAACAGGAGCAGAGCAAACACGTATCACTATCACATCAGAGGTGGGATCAGGTGCCATGGAGGAATGAGCATCCCCTGCAGACCGGTCATACCCGTCATGTGCTCCTTGTCATAATCGGGAAAAAAAACGGAAAATCCGTCGACAATTCAGTGTAAATAATGGCCTAACAATTAGTATGAAAAATGTCAATCAGCATTTGACTCAATGATAAATTGTATTTTCTGACAAGGTCATTGTATCGACCATAAAACTTACGAAATGATGGCTTTAAACGCAACTGCTTATCTTCTTGTTTCATCAACTTGTTAGTCAATAATTTACCTCGTTTTAGAAATTTTTTCATACGTAGAGCATGTTCTAGCGTATCGAATCAACTGAGAGATATATACCCCGTATGCCGGTGATGAAGGTATATTGCTGCATAAGTAAGGGAAGTTGACGATTGAAAAGTTAAAGTCATCACGTTTATCATAAAGCCTTGTTGTTACATTACCATTAACGTCTTTTTCTAATAAAATATCCAAATATGAAACAGATGTGTCAGACTCTGTGGTATATTTTATCTCAAGCTCACCGGGATATATCGTGTCGACATAAGAATGGAAATAACCACTGTTAATTGAAAATACGTCATCGATATATCTAAATGTCGAGTTGAAGGTCATAGCAAGTGTTTTCGTCTTTTCACATAAAAATGTTTTGAACAAGTGCTGCTTCAATTCATATGATAACAGAAATAGGTCTGCTAATAACGGGGCGCAATTGGTACCCATGCAAATTACAAAAGATTGTTGGAAGACCTGGTCTCCAAAAATCACATAGATATTGTCAATGAGAAACTCAAGTATCTTTTTAATGTCAACTTCGTAGTACTTGTGTGTACAATCAGATTGTTTTTAAACAAAGTAATTTTGCAAATGACCAATGACAATGTAAGTAAATTCACGTGTTCCATTTTTATTGAAAAAGCAGCTGTCAACGATACAGAAAGTCTGAACTTTAATTTATCGTGGGGAATAGTTGTAAATAACGTTGAAAATTCGTAAGTTTTTATGCTGTTGATTTTGGTAAAAAATTTGTGATTTCAAATTTTCCAAAAGTTCCTAGGAATTTTTTAGTATCCACATCTGATTTACACCACTTCTCGAATATATTGTTTCACAGTACCCTTGAAGTTTCTCCTTCTCTACTGTTAATATCTTAGTGAGGAGTAATAAAAGAGGCTTGGTAGAACATTTACTGCAACCCGCTATGTATCGATGTTTGTTTAGGATTTTTATAAGGTTTCGGAATCCAATATAGATATGGTAATTCAGATTCATTTTGGTTGTTTGGAATATTAAAAATATTCAAAACTGACAAATGGCTGTAATATTACATATATTTATTTGTCCAAATTGAATATTAATTTATTCTAAAAACAAGGCTTATTGCCTGAAACAATTTCTTTGTAATGTGTTCCTGGATTCGCAGAATTTTTAGCTACAAGTGAAAGATGTTTTAAATTCTCTTTAACATAACCATTTTCAGCTGTTTCCTAGCACCAGCTACCATGCTCTTTCAAATAGTCTATCAGAAATATTCTTGTAAGTGCACAATGATAAGGAGAACTTTTTACAATATGTAATATACATTAGATATCAAATAATTCGTAGATTGATACGGAATTTATTTCACGAGAAGGACGGGATTTTTTTATACTTTCATACGTGCGAAGCACGAGTGCGAATATCAAAATGTCTTATCCCACGAATGAAATAAATTCCATATTAATGTACAAAATAATGAATTTTCTTTTTATTGCATTTTCTTTTGTTTTCCATTTTCCCTCTTTCTTTTCATAACACAGTCTCGTAGACTGTGATGTCGTAGTTGAGTGGTTGAGACATCATAACTTGAGATTGAAAATCATGTAAATGTGGTCTTTAATTACATATTTGGAGAAAGTGTGTCAGTTTTCCTCTTTACCGGGCTGTTTTATTTACCCTATATATATCTTATAACAGGCCAGGGAGTTTTTATTTTTTTTTACTATTAATGAAAGGAAGTGAAATCAAGAGTTTTGCCGCACTTCTGATATTCTTTCAATCTGTGGCAAAATATCACCTTGAAATCCTTTCACATTGTGACAAAGTATCATATTATTCAATTAATAACATGAATAAATTACAGTATTTCACTGTTGAAAATGTAATAAATCTAAATCTAAATTCATTTGTTCATAGAATAACATTAGCCTTTTAGCTATTTCTCGGAGATCTCAATAGGACATAAATCTGATCAGTTCAGATGTAAAGACGAATAATGAACTCCGTAGAATAAAGACTGGAGGGTCAATTTTTGATGTCAAAAAATGAACCCCGGCCATTATTCGAAGTCGAAAAATTACCATTTAGAAAAAGTGGCATCACACTTAGAATCTGCATATCCTACGTGAAGAAAAATGACCCCAGTAGAATAATGACTCCCTAAAAATTGATTATACTGTTCTTTTTTATTAAATCTAAAGGCCTGTGGACCAAAATGCTCGCCTGAGGTATACATAGAATGGTGATACAGGGATGATATGTTGGTCTCATTAAATCTTTCGAATAAAATGATCTGTCTTTCATGATAAATTGACAACATTCAATCATACTATGTGGACATGTTTCCATTTTGATTTCACAAATGTATAATTAATTTTAAGAAGATTCTGAAAAACAATATATTCCACAGAGAGAGAGAGAGAGAGAGAGAGAGAGAGAGAGAGAGAGAATTATTTATGTCTGTTGATCAAGTTGCATCTGAGTGCATGTACTCTTAAGTGATTTTAAATAACAGTATACATACATGTAATCTTCAGCCATATAACAAAAGTATATTACATTTTGAATTAGAAGATTTGCGTGATGTTTATAGATACTTTTGGTACATTTTCATTAAATCCGAAGAAAAACCCAGCAATTA